GAGCCCGAAGCCCTAAGCCCCAAAACCTCGCTGTCCTTGGTGCGATTGTGAGCACGCCCGGATTTTTCCGAATGACCTCCGCAGCCCTGGCGGGTTTACACGGTTTAGGGTTTAGGGTTTAGGGTTTAGGGTTTAGAGTTTAGGACTTGGGGGTTTGCCATAATCAAGGGTACCATGTTGAGGGTCCCCATAATAAGGATTCTAGTATATTGGTGTCTATACTGGGGTCCCCTTATTTCGGGAAACTACCACTTACAGTGTGGGGTTTGGGGTCTGTCGGCTCGGGGGCTCAGGGGCTCGGGCGCGGCCGGAATCGGACAACGGACAGGCCTGAATCTAAGATCTAGTCTTGTGCCAGAACAAAATGGAATCTGGGGATACGTCGGGAGTATACAATGATGATGGGTCTACATTACTGTATATCCTTCAGCAGTACAGTATTACCGTAGGATTCTATTAATTACTGTACTAGTAAACCCTAAATCTTACATTGCTACCATTACTTTATAGCGTGATTAGGTAGTTTGCCAAAATAAGGGGACCCCAATAGACCCCAAAATACTACAATCCTTAATATGGGGACCCCCAAAATGGTACCCCTAGTTTTGGGAAACCCCCATTACTAGTCCCACTACCACGACGACAGCCCGGACCTCTCTTTGCCCAGCATTTTCCGCAGGACTTCGCCGGCTTGCTGGATCTGACCCTGCGACCACACGGCTTCGGACTTTGGGGGTAAGGATTTCTTGGGCTTTTGGAGGTTTTACGTCGCTTTTGGCTTTTTGGCTTTAGGACTTTTAGGGCTTCTGGGGTTTTAGCGTCGAGGGTTGGAGAAATTAGGGCTTAGGTTTCATGGTTTAGGGCTTGAGCAGCAGTGATTTTGGGACCTGTTTAAGTTTTCTCCGCAAGAGAATCCACAGTTACCAGTTCGGTCCCCAAGCATCCCTTTGTAATCCGCATATGCTATGGTCCCTAACAGCCTTCAGTCATGCGGCGCGTGGCGCGCACTGGGCCTCGCCAAAGTAGAGTACGGCGATGTTGCGGCGCATGGCAGCCAAAGCAGTTTCCTCACCTTTCGTGTCTGTCTATCCTGTTGAGGGCACATCACGCCAGGGGTTAACTAAGTCAGATTGGATGACTATTCAAGAATAATTCTGCAATCCTAATTGCCAAGTCAAGAAGAGAATTCATCCAATCTCGGGGGTACTACTCAGCTGTTCAACCTCTTGGTTCGCATTGCTAGACCAGCCTCCAGTTGCAGCTGCCAACGCGCGGAAGCGGCGTCGAAGAGCGATGTCGGTCTGTGGACCGACATCGATACTGCGCCACTTTGGCAGCAACTTAGCGAGGCGAAAAACCCCCCGCACCCACCTTCTTATTACTATTGCTATTGCTATTGCAATTGCTATTACTATTGCTATTACTATTACTATTGCTATGGCCATTACTATTATTATTACTGTCAGTATTACTATTACGATATTACTATTATTATTGTTATTATTACTATCAGTATTAGTGTTAGCTAATATGAAACAGCGCCAGTTTAATTTGATTCTATGATGGGGTGAATATTCATTATTAGGGTGGTGGGTTCGGGAGTGATCACAGTGATAAAGCTTTATGCGCGTGTAACAGCAAACATGAGACTACAGCCAGCTAAAGCCTCAAGCATGTGAGATTTGGTCTAAACTCCTAGTCCTCCTCAATAAGCCCTATGATACTCCCCTATATAAACCCTAAACCCTAAAATATAACCCCCTTTAAGAAGTTTAGACTGCAGCTGATCTGAGACCAGCACTTCAGAGAGGACTTCGCGTGCCCGTTGCTCCCCGTCCGACCATGGCAACAGCTCTGAAAGCCATTGCCCTGACAGGGACAATCCAAAACTTACTGGGGGGATTGATAGGGAATAAGGGAATATGTTATAGGTTTAGGGGTTAGGGTTTAGGGTTTAGGGTTACTCAGGGTTGATAGGGAATAAGGGAATATATTATCGGTTTAGGGTTTTAGGGTTTAGGGTTACTCAGGGTTACTAGGGAATACGGGAATATGTTATAGGTTTAGGGTTTAGGGTTACTCAGGGTTAATAGTGAATAAGGGAATATATTATCGGTTTGTGGGGTTAAGGGTTTAGGCTTACTCAGGGTTAGCAGGGAGTAAGAGATATATTCGAGATGGATTATATAAGGATTATATTCGTTTATTCCCTACATACCAACAATCAGTAAGCCCTGAATAAGCCCTTGACCGTGCTGAGTTGCTCCTAAGGAACTTTTATCAAGATACTATGATAAGGAAACCCTGTAACTTATCATAAAATGAGTTTCCATTGTATTTTCCACTATCTCTGTACAACCCCTATATACTATAGTAATCTCCATGTTCTTTTCGATAATGGTAACTTCATGTAAGTTCCTTAGCAGCAGCCATCCAGTGTGTTGCTGCAGCAAGACAGGAAGACAGGAAGCCCTAATCTGCAATGCCACTGTTTAGGGTTTAGGGCTTAGGGCTTCACTGCCTACATCGAAGGTCTTCTCCTTGCGCGTGACCAAAGCATAGTCCTGCAGACCGTTTATAAAGAAAACAGGAGGTGATCAACCCTAATCCCTTAACTTTAGAGCCTGGGGCTTTTCAGGGTTTAGGGCATAGGGTGCTTAGTAGGGCTCAGGGTTTAGGTTAATGGGCAATATGATGCGGGGATGCCCAGATGGGGCAAGCCATTTATACCAAACCCTCAATGTTTGATTGTTCTTGGGGTTCTCCATGGTTCTCCCATCGAATGGCCCAACCCGCAGAGTATTCCGTGCCTGATCAACCAATTCTGGCACAAAACGAATTCAGCGTCTAGGGTTAGAGAAAGCCACCCCTCTAGAATAATGTATGTAAAGGACCCCAAGATTCCCTTTGTAGTCCCGTGCTATATTTTCAAATTTGTCCCCAATTCCAGAGTCTATTATATACACTGTCCAACCGCAGAGTGAGTGTTCCCGCATGTCCAAGCTCGGAAAGGACAGTAGGGTTCTTGAAGTAGTAGCATGGAAAACCGCGTTAGAACACGATGATATCGTGCAATAACATGTGACACGAGATCACAGTTTATAAACAAGAGGCAGCACCTACGAGCACGAATAAACAATACACAAATACCATTTAACCAAAAAAACAAAAAGACATGCGAAACAGTGCAATATGTCAATGGAAACAACGCAAAAGCTTAGAATATTTTCTCCAACAGCACTGTCCTAACCTTCGGCCTTCACATTGGCGGTTGTCCGCCACCCCCCCTAGCAGTGACCAGTTTTGAGGGTGATCATGCCCCTTCCCCCATCTATTCAAGAAACCCCTGGAGCCCTGTGAACTGAATCACCCTAAGGCCTTAACCCTAAACCGTCCAAATATGGAATGTCCCCAATTTTAGGCTAGCTTTGCGCGCAACATCTCAAGATGCACGTGGCTCCCAGATCCTGCGCGAAGTAATTGTAGACAATCTCCTTGCACCGCTTGCTTTAAACTCAGCGGTAGGACCGGTGGTTTGGATATGTTACGTTTGGCGCTTTTCCGTAACATCTCCTGGTTGCGTGGGGATTCTCCTTATTGGTAGGGTAGGCAGGGAAGTAGAATGCCTGCATCTGCGCCCATGTGGGAACGCCACCCATGCGCCCTGGACATCCTCATTATACAGTCTCCCTAAATGGATAGAATATGGCTTTGGGTATATTATAATAAGATCCCCACTTACCCGATGTTCTATCTACTTAAGGGGGACTATAGAACCTAGAACCACACCAGAGGTTCTCAAGTGTTCTGCCTTTTTCAGCATCACACACACGTACTCAGTCTAAACTCGCGCTATGCCCCTTAATAACCCCTATAAGACTGCC